GGTATCTCACAAAATCTGATATGGATGATAAGAAACTCACGGCATATTTCCTACATTTGTTAGCAATGAGGCGTACACGTTGATCAAGAGTTTAGTATATCCTGAATCTCCAATCGATATTTCCTACACTGCATTGAAGAAAAAAGTTCTTCAACACTTCAAACCGACAAACTTCGTAGCAGCCGAAAGAGCTGGGTTCAATATGTTGACCCACTCTCATTCTCAGTCGGTTAGTGATTTCGCGTTACAGCTGCAAACACAGGCAGCCAAATGCGACTACGGTGCACAATTAGAAGACCAGCTGCGTGATCGAGTCATTGCTGGCATTCAGCTGCCCGAAATACAGCAGAAGCTTCTACTCTGTCCGGACCAGAAATGTCAATCTATTCGGAAAATATGTGAGCAGTATGAAGATGTTAAGCATGTAACGAAGGCTGAGGATGCAGTCTTGTTAGATCATTCCAAATGAAATAGTTCAAGGATGCAGACGAACAGCAAATTCATTTTTCGAACAAATTCTCGTGCCCCAAATCCACTAACACGTCACCTTACAGATCGTAACCCTAATCCGATGGTTCAAATGTTTGGGGAATGTGAATCTTGTGGGCGAAACCATTCCATTCTGCGGTAAAACAGGACACATTCAAATTGTCTGTAAGTCCAAAAGTGTGTCACTTAACTTCTGACCCAAATACTGGAGTAAAAGCAATATATGAAGATATTTCTACTTTTTCCCTATTTGTTTTGTTCCAAAGTTCGTCACATGTTTTCAAAGCGTTGATATCCGCTTCTGGTCAAAAGCATGACCTTCATGCTGATACTGGTAGTGTTGGGTCCATCGTTCCACAATCAGATCTAACTGCATTCTACCCCAGTGCCGTGATATTGCCTACAGGTGTTAACATTCCCGGCATCACTGGACATTCTGTACCTTTATTTGGTAGTTGCACGATCCCTGTGAGGTTACCCCAAGGTACCTCTATCGATTGTAATTTTTTGGTTTCAACGTAGGGACCATCGATTATCGGACTCGAAGTTCTGCGCCTACTGCGAACTAGTATCACATTACTGACTTTTGTGAAGCAGAATGAACTCAAACAGCCGATTCTCAAATGTCCTAGGCCTACAGGTGGCATGCAAATACCCAGGAGACGAATTATTCCATTTGGCTTACACGAGCCTGCTCGTCAAGCATTTCGGCTATTTCATGCCGATTACTGTGGTCCTTTTCTCGGCAAATACTATGCTTTAGTCGTTACTGACGCACATTTACGTTGGCCTGAAGTTTTCCTATCTAGGTCTCCAAGTGCCGAATTCAATCTGTTACGAACTAAAAAAGCCGTGCCCTGATTGGTCAGAATATCGGTTGGTCATTATAGCACATCTAGCTAGACGCACTTCACCCCGCTGCGAAGACCCTATTTGGCTGTGTGGAGAATTCTGTTTTCAGCTAATAAATACAGTTGTAACAATCTTCCACTGTCTACATGGTGGCTGAACGAGAACGGTTCAGCGTTGTAGTTGTAATCTACGACAGCAAACATCTCAACCGCTGGGTTACTTTCTCCAGCGGCACTTTCATGCATTTATACATGGGACTAAGCTTCCTGGGTCGGGTTTCTTCCAGTTGTTCAGCGGCATCCATTCATCAGAAAGGCGCAGGTGAACAAAATATGTAGCACCGCTCTATAGGTTCCCAGCTTGAGGCAGTAAGCTTTGTGGTGTCAAGACTCATAAGAAGCATCTAAAAGCTCTTTGATAAGACTGCTAAATTCAGCGTTTACACACGTTGTAGAACGATCATTTCACGCACAAATCTGAAAACGTTCTACACCCGTCTAACGACTCGTGAAGTTTTTGCAAATGGTGACTTTATTTTCCCTCTCTGCTTCTGATGTGTTGGAATCACCTATGTACGGCAGTGAAGCATCGGTGTTGAACACTGATGTCATGCTGTCGATGATGATGATGATGATGATGATGATGAATCACCTATGATAGCGGTGAACAGCTGTGGTTTGTGATTGCAGTGGCTTTATTAGACACTGGAAGACTTGCGGTTGACAGGTTATTATATTTAACGTAAAACTCAGGAAAGATCTGTGGTTTGGGTTGTGCGAAGGCGGGCATGTCAACCACGGTAGAAAGCTCGAAAGCTTGATTAGAGGACAATACATCACAGCAGTCCTTGGACTGCCGTGGGGAGGAGCTGCCTATGAGTGGATAACCATTGACGGAGGCCGAATATTTTGAAGGAAGCCAAAAGCAGGACTTTTTGGTGCCTACTTGCGTGAGACAACGAAGCACGCACAGGTATATTTTGAACCACGGTACGAACAGATGAATCCGAGTGCGAGTGGACACCAGGATCCAGAAGGGACGATGTGACATTTCTGACTACCAATTTGACTTGAGTCATCCACTACTGTGGGCCAGAATCCACAACTTTTTGGCCATTATAGCGGATGTGAATTCCTGCTTGGCACTTCAGAGCAGCGTCATCGTCTGCTCTTGAGACGAGTTTTAAGGATTTACAGTAGCTACTAATCTGAATTTCCACTGACTTGTCTCGTTCGGCCGTGACCCAGTGTTTGAAACTAAGGGGCTGCTGAATCATGATGTCGTACTCACATCATTGTTTTACTGAACGAAGCCTTGGAGTTGCCGCACGTGTTGCTTCCTGTGCTCCATCTCTCTGGGCGGAGTGAAGAAAATTGCTGTGCTAACACACTTGGCGGTTCAAACGAGGCAGTGTGTAGGGGTAGAGACGCCTGGTTGTCTGCGCTTTTTCAAGGGCATCTTGTGTTGCGCAATGAGACAGCAGCGTCCCGTGTGTGAGAGTAGTCGCAGCCAAAATCCGTGCGTATTATTTCGGATTCGTGAACCCCACAGATATTGTTTGAGGGATTGTTCTGGGGCAGTCATGCTCCCCTTTCGTAGCTTAATCGCCTTCCTAATGCTTATCCTACGCTTATCAAATGCACTGAGCTCACACGATGAAAACTCATTGCTCGTACTTGCTGTACCTCAAACTACCTGGGGTGCTATGGACCGCCGCATTTCGATTTCCTTTGGTGATAATGTCACTGCTTGTTTGCAAGTGCTCCACTGTTTCCTGAGTCGTGTCAACAGCCCTTTAAAGCTTACCCATATTTCCTTGCTGCCGTAACAGCTATTTTAGGTCCCCCGCCGCAACTTAGCTATGTGCTGGCTATCTATCCGTTTTTTCTTTTGGTTTATCTGTCTTTCTAGAAGCTTTCTGTCTCCAAATTTGCTCTTTGCTGGGCGTCAATCGACTCAGTGGTTAGACCGCCAATTTACTGGCCGGTAGATCCGTGGTTCGAACCCGGCCACTGCCTCTCGACTTCTCTGTCTAGGTTTTGGGCAACCTGGCAGTATCCCAGCCCTCGTACTTCCTTCGGGTGGCATGTCAGTTGTGCACCGAAAGCGTGCTACAGCTGAATGTTTTTTCTCTTTTTGCTATTGTAGGAATCGGTTGGAACTCACAATTTCGGATAGAGGTGATCAGGAGACGGGTGTATGGTGAAACAGAGTACTTCACTCAAAGAATGCATCCAGCACTGCAGGCTAGGCCGTGTGTTACGCATGCCAATTTATCACCTGAGACAAACTTATTCACGCCTAATTACTAGTGGTGGAAACCTAGAGGTTGACGGAATTTGACATGGCAGAAGGGAATGAAGTTTTAGATAAATATTAGCGAAATACACTCATTTGCAAACAAATTTGGTTTTTCCGAGAGACTCACCTGGAACTCACCTGAATCTCTCATTTGTGATGTTTCCAGAAATGAAGTATGTTATGAAAATTATGGATCTTACTTGCCTTCCTGGACATGGTGCACGTGGTCGTCCTTGTGATTGGCTGGAGACGCTGAACGGTATGGTGGTTATCCGGTGTCACTGGCGTTCATACTGTCGGTTCTCTCCAAATTGTCTGACAGAGCTGGAAGTGTAGGCTCCTCTGATATTCTGGACGGTTCAGCTGTAGCACCTTTTCGGTGCCTAACCGCCATGCCACCAGAAGGAAGCACGAGGGCTGGGATACTGTCAGGCTACCCAAGCCTAGACAGGGGGAGTCGAGAGGCTTTATTCAAAGAGACCCAGAAGACCCGAAATACCCGAAGATTATTTCAGTTGATCCGTGCGACCGGTTCCCTTAAACCACTCGTAAGCGAAACCATCAAGGATCAAAGTGGCGCGACTGTCTTGAATAAAAATGAGTCAACCACTGGGCCATCCGTTGCCACTAATTTGGATCCTGCAGCTGAAGTTGAACCTTGGACGGTGAACCTGGAACCCCTACGGCCTTGGAGGTTTATGGCTGCATATGTTCTATCAAGCGCCTCCAGGATAGGAAGGGCGCGTGTTTGGTTTGCGCCTGGTTGGAGACGCTGCAAGATATGGCTGTCAACCTATGTCAGTGGTGATCTTGTCGTCAGTTTTTATCCAGGTTGCCTGAATGAGTATTTGGAGGTGAAGGGACCTCGGAATGATTGTGGTAGGCTAGTACTAAGTCCCTTCCCCGTCCACTTTCAATCATTTGTTCACAATAAGACTTTCAAATAAATCATGGTTGCACAACAGCGAAGCATCAGTTTTGAGCACTTCTGTTATGCTGTGCATGATGATAATGATGTACAGTGGTTCTAGCTGCCACAGTTTCGTTCACCGATTAGTTTGGGTAGGTAGGGTATGTAGCTGCGGTAACTGATATACTTGGCGCCTAAGTACAGGTCTGTCAATGGACTTTCACTGATGAGCTGGTGACGGGAGCTATGAACTGGGGCAACAGCCTGGATGGGCGAGCGCCACTGAACGCGCGACTGGGCCATGTCTGACAATATATCTAAAAGTTGATGTGTCCCGTCTCAGGTTCCCATCCTGGGAGACGGCAATGGCAACGCAACTGAGTTCATGGCAATGACTCAGTTTATTGACAAATATTGACTGGCATCCCGTGACTTGTTTTCACCCGCCATGTGGTTGTCCGAAAAGGGTCCTCCGAGGAGTTCGGTCGACTGGCATACGGAGCACGTGACCAAGCCAGCACAACCTACGGAGTGTGATCGATTCATCTATCGTGAGGGAGTTGCCCCTTCCGAAGACCATTTGACTTATTTCAGCACTACTGATCCGGCATTCCCACCAGACTCGGGCAATGCTCCGAAACGTCGATGGCCATACACTAAAAGTCCTTTGACGTTCTAAGCGACCAGGCATCTGACCTGTGTAATAGTATGGAGCACCGCAGCATTGTAAACTCGACCCTTAGATAAGCTAATGTCACGCCTATGCCACAGGTGACGCAGGTTCACAAAAGCTTCTCTGGCTTTCTCAATCCGGATTGAAATATCATCTTTCGCCAGACCACCGAGACTGATACAGCCGTTCAGCTAAACAAATTCGTCTACTCCCTCAATCGGTTCATCCGCAGGCATGAAGCTATGGTTCAAGCCCACCCAGTCTTGCAGTAGCACTTTACACCATGCGAGTGTGAAGCGCATGGCAAACGGTGAGGCGGAATTATCTATATTATTTAATATAATCACCACGGGGTCAGACCCAGGAAGAGCTATGTCGTCTGTGTACTCGATATCTGTGAGTGAATGCTCCGGGAGCATTTTGACCCCACAGGCATTGGAGACTGATAGTGAATCCTCCATAACTATATCATTGATGAAGTTAAATAGGAAAGGTAGAAGAGGACAGCCTTGCCTGACACCGCTTGCTGTGGTGAACTCAGAAGAGAGCTTCCTGCAGACCTTCCCACGGTCGCGGTAGTTAGCGTTCAACGCCTTATGGAGGATCGAAAATTTATGGAGTACACCTTTGTTTCGCGGACACTGCAATGGTGCCGGATGCTCCACAGAGTCAAAGGCAGCTTTCAAGTCAACCAAGATCACCAGTGTTTGTTGCTGGAAGCAGTGTCGCTGTTCCAGGATCTGTCGGAGGGTGAAAATATGATCGATACATCCTCTTGCAGGACGGAACCCAGCTTGGTTTTCACGGGTATATCTCTACCTGTGTTCAGTCAACCTTCGAAAGTTAAAACGGAGAGCATATGAGATACCATAGTTACCAGACTGATGCCACGGTGGATTTCACACCTTCCCCGTACTGTTTTGGAAGTTGGGAATAATCGTCGCTGTTCCACATTCTGAAGTACTCTCTCTTCACCCAATTTCGCACTAATGAGCGTTGTCAGATAGATCACCAGGTATTCTTCGCCTTTGAAGAGGACTGGATACAGACCGTTGGGTCCTGGTGACTTCTTGCGTTCCAGTACGGATATTTCTGGCTTTATTTCTCCCAACGGCCGACTAAATTTTGCATTCCATTCGCCCATATACACTAGCTCCAGAGGCTGTGTTGCAGGAGGCCAGTTAAAGTTTTCTTCGGAGTGTTCGGCCCACCTTTTAACTCGATCTTTTTGCTAGTGAATTGGTGAACCGCCTTTTCACCTATCGTTTTACCGATTGTTGCTTTCCTAGGGCCAGTGGATGGTATCGGCTTATATAGGGTGCGGCCGTTTCCGGTAGTCAAGGCCTTCTCAATCTTCCGAGCTTTCGATGTCCATCGGAAGTCTCGGTCTTTCATTTGGCTCTTCAGTATTTGGTGTTCGTGGGACTAGAGTGCGCCGTTGTGGTCGTCGGCTGCTGGTATAGATTCCCAGGTATCGACGATATCCAGTGGGCATTTGATTGCTCCGGAGAAATCGAACAGACAGCACTGAATGCCGTTAGCATAGCTCCTTTTACATTTTGCCACGCTTCATCCAGGTGCTCGCTACTCTGTACACTTTACTGTAGAGGGTAGTTGAGCTAGCTCAGGTCGATACCACTAAGCTGTGGTAGTTCTTCGAAGGTGATGGATTGGCATACTTGCTGACTTTTAAGTGCCTGAACGGAACCAAATTGCCAGCCATGCTCGCATTGTGGCACCGGAATCAAGTTGTGTGCCCCGGAAGGGACAACAGTCTTGAATCGTGGCTCTCCACTAGTGGCTGATGGCCACGTGACCCAACTGGATCCACGACTAATTTGCACCTGGTGGCCTCCAGGTTGCGCGCTGCGAACGTTTATTCTGAAAGTTCGTACTACCCAATAAAAACAGTTCACGATCAGCGCATAACTGGAGGGGTCGCCCTCCGTTATTTGTGTGACGAGCATCAACTTCAGATCGAAAGCCTCAAAGTGCTTCCAAGAGACTCAGACGATCGACTTGGACATTCATATTGCCCGCACCGATCACAATGATAGTGCTGTTTGCTTGACGAAGGAGCCCGGATGACTCGACAGAAGGGATCCTCAATGTCAGGACTGCAGTTACTGAGGTATATGCCGACACTACAAGCACGCACCATTTTTATGCCGAAAGGCATTGGGCTTGATTTAGCTGGATAACCGGATGGCGCAAAGATGACTGTTTACTGAGATCCAGTTAAGGGCATTCTGCTCAGGGGCTGAGTGCAACTCCCACGCCATATATTCCACGAGTCACCGCTTCCGTATTACCGGACACACGGAGGGAGAAAGTTGAAGGAGCTGAGTTAGTCGTTGACGTTTTGAGATATGTGCGTTTTTCGGAGACAGCGTACATCAATTTTAAGGGAGTATAAGGTTTCAGCGAGCATTGCTTGTTCCCCAATCGGACATAGAGTATGGTCGTTAAAAGCTCCTATGTAGGAAGGATCTCGTGAATTTAGGTGTTATCTTGCATTTGTTAATAGGCAGCGGGGTCGAGGTACCCCACCTTCAACCTTTGGCTTAATAGCCTGACCCCCAAGGCAGTGGGAGTATGTAAGGTTTTGTTCGGGGACCATGCCCTATTCTCTGGCTCAAAAGTCTGACCCATGAGGCAGTGGACAGTGGGACTTTATTTGGGGACTTTGCCCGGAGCCGATGATCTGATCTGCTCGGCTGCAGATGGTTGGCCTAACCCGAGGACGCAGGGAGTAAGGTATTACTGTTTCACTCCTGATGCGGCTGCGCGGAACAGGTGCCTTTTGAGCAGCACCGAACCCTTTGATTTTAAAAGTATTTCGACTGTATTGAATAATGCGCAGGCAGTTAGGGTGAAAAGCTAGTGGTTGTCAAACGAAGTCAAACGAAACTATCAGAACCAGCTCCTCGAATGCCTGCCGGACGGTACGGTGTTGGATATAAACGACCACTGGGAAAAAATATCCAAAGCGCCTTTCAAAACTGGAATGTCTGTTTGCGGTACAACCCAACCAAGCCCATACAAGCATTGGATCTCTGATAGGACCGTGTCTTTGCTGGAGACCCGGCGACATATTCCACCTGGCCGCCACCACAACTCCACCCGGCGCATCGTCCGACACCAGGTGAAACTGAGTGTCCGCGCAGACCGAGCAGCTTGGTGGACCCGCAGGGCCCAAGAAATGGAAGATGCAAAGAATGCTGGAAACGTGCGCAAGCTGTTCCATTCGATTCGCTCGATTGGTCCTCGGGAACCTCTTGTCAGTGAAATAATCAGGGACAAAAATGGCTCCCTGATATGCAACAAAGCAGAACGTTTGGACCGTTGGACACAGTACTTCGAGCAGCAATTCAGCTGGCCACCAGCTACACCCAATCCAGAATCTTCGTCTTCTGCACGAAGATGGACCGTAGATATGTAGCCGACTTCAGTCTCAGAAGTGTCCGAATGTATTTCCCCACTCAAGCGTCATCGTGTTGCTGACGAATTTCCATCTGCCCTTTTTAAGGATGGCGGTGTGCTCCTCAGCCAGTGCCTGTCTAGCTTATTTGGGAGAATGAGACCGTCCCAGGTAACTGGGGTGAATCGATAGTAGTGCCCATTTTTAAAAAGGGTACTCGTAGTGAATGTATTAACCACAGAGGTATTAATTTGACTCCTGTTGTGACAAGGCTTCTGGCGTCACTGATTCTTCGTCGTCTTACGGCGGCACGCGAAGCCTTGACTCATGAGAATCATGCGGGATTTCGACCGGGTAGAGGCTGCGTTGACCACATTTTCACACTCCGTCGGGTGTTAAAGCAACGCCACATGTACAGACGACCCACAACCTTGGTATTCCTTGACTTCAAGAGTGCGTTCGATTCTGTCGATCGGTCAGTGCCGTCAACTACGACTGCCAGACAGAAGAGTAAACTACGCAGATGATATTGCCATCATCTTTGAAGACCAAAGCGAAGCAAAAACACTGTGAAATAGACTGTCCACCATTATACCATCTTTTGGCATGCACCTCATACCTGCAAAGTGCAAAATTATGCTTCAGAATGTGCAGTCTTCGAACATATCCCTTAAAATTTAAAGATAATCACTCGAGATTGTGGAAAATTATGCATACCTCGGTGGTTGTATTAGCTCTGCATCATCATCATCATCACCATCATCAAAGACATCAACATCAGTGTTGGTACTGATGCTTCACTGCCGTACAACCTACAGTGAAGAGAAGAGAAGAGAAAAAGAGTGGCTGAGGGAGGGGACCTAGTGCTGGCCTATGTCAAGCATACTGAGGTGCCTACACCTCCAACCGCTCAATCAGACAATCTGGAAAGAAACTGACAGCA